TTTCAGGTCTGGCAAAGTTCCCAGGTTCTTGGTGTGGGGAGAGCCATTTATGAATGCATTCTGGTCTGCCCAGGTCGGCCACGTTGCTGATGGCGTTTGTCCTCTTCCTTGTACCTTCACCTTCAATGTTTCCGAGGTAGGTAAGAAAGGTACACTGCTTCCAGTGACGTACATTAACAAAATGCTCTGCCCTGAAATGTACGTCACAAAGATTGCCCTGAGGCATACGTCAGGAAGATACAACATCCTGAAAGACACATCTGATGTCTGAGGTCCGACGTTGTCGCTGGGATGAGGCTCTCAGCTCTGTATATTATACAGTATAGATATATAATTGTATAATTAGCCTTGAGAAGCAAATGAACTTATCAGTTAACGTTTAAAATTATGTTTGCTGGGTATATAAAATCGGTTGGAAGGTGGAGGTATGAAAAAGAAGAGCATTTTGAGATGATAAACGCATATAATGAAATAGAGGCGAAGTCAGGCATCTGGCAGGGAAGAATAGTATCTGTTAGGAAGAGAGAAAAGCCAGAAGTGAGTATGGAGGAAGTGAGTGGGGCAATAAATAAAGTGAGAGCGGGTTAAGTAGCAGAGAAGGAAGAGATTATGGCTTCAAAACTCTGAAACCATATGGCGATGTAGTTCCAATACTGGTTGGTGTCCGGATTGAAGTAAAATGTAGATCAGGGACTGTGATCCTTTCACATTCTGAGACATAGAGATTATAAGCTTCCATTCTTTTATTCACTCCATGGCTGAGTGAGAGTGCCCCCGTCTCTTGGCCAAATACTGTGGGTTCAATTTCACGCATCTCGTCATTCAAAGTTTAAGCTACATATAGTATTTATAAAATAAATAATAATTAATAATAATAATAATAATTATTATTATAATAATAATAATTACCAATACCCAGTTATTGCAATTTTAGCATATTAATGATGGCTAATTGTGTTATATTCATCACAATCACTTAATTTAAATTGGAAAAAAATATGGGACACAAGGAATGAGCGAGAATTGTAAAAGGATGGTTGCGTTGCAGATGAGCAGTGTTGATGCTGTGGTTGTGCATATGCGTGGGATCCCCAGCAGGGAACTCCTCTTGAAGAAATTGTCACCCCGTGACCCCACCCAGCCATGGATCCTCAGCACCTTTGAAGCTCCACCCAGAGCCAACAGCATCCATCACACCGACTACAGAACCCTCGATGGCATCTTCAACCGCACAATGCTTTACCGCAGAGATGCGGATGTTGTGGTCCCTCACGGGTTCATCGTCCGTCGAGATGAAGCCAAGCTTCTGCCTAAATCCTGGCGTGTACCCCCATTGCAACACCCAGGCAATTTTCACGCACGTGACATGGTTGTGGCCTTTATCTCCAACTGCAATGCACAGAGTGGACGTTTGGAATATATAAGAGAATTACAAAAACACATACCAATAGATATATACGGCGCTTGCGGTGAATGGAAGTGTGGCCACTCCATGTATGTCGAACATAGGTATGATCCGACCAAAGAATCCTGTTTTATAAATGCTGGTGAGAGATATCTCTTCTACTTGGCCTTTGAGAACTCCCTCTGCACCGACTACGTTACAGAAAAGCTGTACAACCTCATGTATTACCCGATGGTGCCTGTTGTGCTCGGGGCAGCTAACTACTCAGCCGCCATGCCTCCCAACTCTTATATTGATGCTCGGCAGTACACACCCAGAGAACTGGCAACCAAACTAAAGGTTCTTGCGAAAAACCGACAGGTAAGACTTTTCTCTTGTATTGTATTTCTTTGGAATCACTAAACCTGTAGGGGTTATATATGTTGCCTGGAGATGGGAAGTAATCACAGGTAAGACAGGTAAGGCATTTTACTTTATTTCTGTGTAACAGCAATAGTAAGAATGAGTAATTGATAGAAAAACTGCAAACTAATTTCAGTTTATAATAATAAATGACAGGGTGTCCCTTAAAATTCACACTCTTCAATATTCAGTCATCAGTCGTGTAATTAAAAGAGACTAACTCGAAATAATTATAACCATTCTTTCAATGTTTGGCTGCTGTCTCCTCCCTAGTGGATAATTAACGAGATATCTTTAACATTTGACTCTTAATATTATTCGAGAAAATCTTGTGACACGAATTTTTATCATTCAATGTTGTCTATGTGCTCGTGTGAAAGTTGCTTATCCGATGGCCTTATTGGGGTAGCAGCGACCACCGGCTTACTGGTTGGTACTTTCTTCAGCCTTAAAATACAAATGTAATGTGATACCCGTAGATACGTAGACAATTATAAAGGAAGTGATGCCTGGATTGTGAAAAGCCACGGATGGAGTTTATATCATCTAAGTGCATGTCAGCCATACGAATTACTTCTTAGGGTGGTATCATGACTCACGAAATCGTAAAACCACGATTGCAAACAAACCACGGAATGGGTGAGGGTTGAACCCATGACGTTCAAACCCCACCAGTTCCATGGTTTGTTTTTATAGTGGTATATTTACTCGCAGAATCAGTAGTGCTGACTAACAAACTTGGCCCTTGGGGTAAAATCTGAATACAGCATTAACCCTTGAACGGTCCAAACAAATCTACGTTCACATGTGTAGTGCTCCAAAAGTAGATCTACGTTTTTTTACATATTTTCAAATATAACAAAAAAAGTAGATCAAAGTTTTTTTTACACGTTTTCAAATGCAAAAAAAAAAAAGAAGATCTACGTTTTTTACATACTTTCAAATGCTGAAAAAACGTAGATCTAAGTTTGGACAGTTTAAGGGTTTAAACACCACAGTAGTAGTTATTTCATGTGGAATATTAAATTACTACTAAAATATCTATCTAAATTGTGTCCAGCCACCGGGATCCACAAAGAAATGCACACCTTCCACTCTCCACAGGACACTGGTGTGTCTAGTGATTATGTGAATTATTTTAATAAGTCCGAGTGTGCTTAGCATGCGAGTGCAAGTAGCAGTGTAGTTTGGTTATGTGTCTCTTAATGAATAAGTTCAGATCAGCATTGTTTAACTATAAGTGGTCTTCAGAAGAGACACAGTGAGGAAGAAGCTTTATTGAGACAACTAATAAAGCTTTAACAGAGAGTAACGCTGTCTCAGTAAAAGCTTTTTGTGCAACGTGTATCCTTCCTTCAAAACTACAGGTATTACGCAATACGGGTCCAGCTGTGAACATGTGAGAATAAGACACATATGCACCACCTGTGTGGACAAGGACGTCCAGGAAAGATGGATGGTTGTTGCTCTCCTCCTCTAACGTGAATTTAATGGTGGGTTCTTGATGTTGAATATGTGTTGTATATTGAGTCTCTAGGGAAGATGGCCAGTATACAGTCGATATACTGGTCGACAGAATACTGGTCGACGACATACTTCTATATGTATTGTGGGTTTTTTTTTTAGTCGTCCGTTTTAGAACTGAAGAAGTCACAAATGGCGAAGCGTCTCTTTCAGTAAACGCCTTAGTTCCACAATCTATCGGAAATAGCATGGCTGTACTTCTGCAGCATTGAAACTTATTTGTTATTAGTCTCCTTTTTACTAAGCATAAAAAAAATAACCAGATCGTTTTGCTTCCAGGAGTACCAGAGGTACCTAGCATGGAGACAGTACTACCAGCCCTCTACAATAGGTGGACAACCCTCCCTCTGTCACCTCTGTGTTCGACTTCACGACCCAGAGTTTTACAAACATAAAGTAATCGAAGACTTCTATGAATGGTTTGTTGTGAAATCTGAACCTGCAGATGGACGGGGACTATGTATATAAAATCGGATTTATAAATTCCTAGCTTGGTTACATGTTCTTGGCATATACACAGACAATGGTGAAATTAAGTGAAAAGCATGTGGTAAACCCTATAGTCACTTGAATACTACGTAAATTATTGTCCACTTATTGAGGCCTATAGAGAAAGGCAGTACAATAATCTATGTGATAAGTCAAAGTATCTAATTAGTGAAAATATTAGAACAAAGATTTTGAGGAGGTATCCTAAACTTGCTTGTAACATAGCTATAAATATGTAAATATATTCAGATTTACTCCAGTTAACTAACCCTTTCAGGGACTAGTTCATAGGACTTTGTGTATCCACATTTTCTTACGCTACTGTACACAGGATGGTTATAAGGTGCACAATAAACTAGCCGCTTCCCTCCATAGGTCGGCTACGGATACATAATAAACCATACCATGGGTGGGGTTAGAACCCGCGATCAGGGAGTCTCAAAACTCCAGACCCCGCCCGTGGTATGGTTTGTTTGCAATCGTGTCATTACGATTTCGTGAGTCATACACAATAAACTTAATAACTTATGTGGAGAAAACTTAAGAATATAATGTTGTATGATGTATTTAGCTCTTTCGTGTCGAGGATTTAGTCATAAATATCAACATTTTTGTTCGATAAACCAGACATCTTAAGATCATAATTATGGAATATTATTATGTTCATGTGGGTAGCGCTAAACCCGTTGGGATTAATACTGTTACTATGGAATGAGAGGTAATCAGTACATACGTACATATAACATCGCGAAGTTTTGCCTTACTACACACTTTGTATAAATAATATTCTAAAGGGTGTGAAACACCTGATGTACATGTACTTGATGTACATGTACTTGATGTACATGTACTTGATGTACATGTATACTTGAAAGAGTATGTATCCCACCTAGAGTATTCTTAAATCCCTATATTACGGATTAAAATATACCTGTACCACCTTGTGTGCTGGTGAACAGGGTACATGACCTCCTCGTGTAACTGAACACATTTAATTAAGCTAAATTAGGTAACCTTTGACTTATTATCTACTGTCACAGTGGCAACACCTACTAACCAAAATGTTGAATTATTATTATTATTATAATCAAGGGGAAGCGCTAAACCCGGAAGATTATACAGCGCCTGGGGGGGGGGATGTTGGAGGCATTCAGGCTTAATTCGAGGAACTGGAGCACAGATCCAATTTCCTAAATCAAGAGCCCCTCACCAACATCAAGTAACCTTCCTTGAGGGGCCAAAATGTTGAAGCGGAACTGGCGATGACCTTGCTAGCTAAACTAAATCTAACCTGAAAAAAGAATATAGAAAAAATTACCTTCAATATAACGTAAAATAAGTCAGCGGTTAGGTTTTGATGTTATAAGTACGAATGTTACATCTGATAACAAAAAAATGTTTTGATTTATCATATGTCAGTATATATTGAAAATATTTATGCCAAAAAATGTCAAGATATTAATGAATATAAGCAGAGGCTGCTTCAGCACATATAAACATGTAAATTGTTCATTATCTCTGTAACTTGTTCAGCTATCAGAATGTTGAGGTCCGGTCCCTGGAGCCATTATGTACCTCTGTAATGTTGAGGTCCGGTCCCTGGAGCCATTATGTACCTCTGTAATGTTGAGGTACAGTCCCTGGAGCCATTATGTACCTCTGTAATGTTGAGGTACAGTCCCTGGAGCCATTATGTACCTCTGTAATGTTGAGGTACAGTCCCTGGAGCCATTATGTACCTCTGTAATGTTGAGGTACAGTCCCTGGAGCCATTATGTACCTCTGTAATGTTGAGGTCCGGTCCCTGGAGCCATTATGTACCTCTGTAATGTTGAGGTACAGTCCCTGGAGCCATTATGTACCTCTGTAATGTTGAGGTACAGTCCCTGGAGCCATTATGTACCTCTGTAATGTTGAGGTACAGTCCCTGGAGCCATTATGTACCTCTGTAATGTTGAGGTACAGTCCCTGGAGCCATTATGTACCTCTGTAATGTTGAGGTCTGGTCCCTGGAGCCATTATGTACCTCTGTAATGTTGAGGTACAGTCCCTGGAGCCATTATGTACCTCTGTAATGTTGAGGTCCGGTCCCTGGAGCCATTATGTACCTCTGTAATGTTGAGGTCTGGTCCCTGGAGCCATTATGTACCTCTGTAATGTTGAGGTACAGTCCCTGGAGCCATTATGTACCTCTGTAATGTTGAGGTACAGTCCCTGGAGCCATTATGTACCTCTGTAATGTTGAGGTACAGTCCCTGGAGCCATTATGTACCTCTGTAATGTTGAGGTACAGTCCCTGGAGCCATTATGTACCTCTGTAATGTTGAAGTACAGTCCCTGGAGCCATTATGTACCTCTGTAATGTTGAGGTCCGGTCCCTGGAGCCATTATGTACCTCTGTAATGTTGAGGTACAGTCCCTGGAGCCATTATGTACCTCTGTAATGTTGAGGTACAGTCCCTGGAGCCATTATGTACCTCTGTAATGTTGAGGTACAGTCCCTGGAGCCATTATGTACCTCTGTAATGTTGAGGTACAGTCCCTGGAGCCATTATGTACCTCTGTAATGTTGAGGTACAGTCCCTGGAGCCATTATGAACCTCTGTAATGTTGAGGTACAGTCCCTGGAGTCATTATGTACCTCTGTAATGTTGAGGTACAGTCCCTGGAGCCATTATGTACCTCTGTAATGTTGAGGTACAGTCCCTGGAGCCATTATGTACCTCTGTAATGTTGAGGTACAGTCCCTGGAGCCATTGTGTACCTCTGTAATGTTGAGGTACAGTCCCTGGAGCCATTATGTACCTCTGTAATGTTGAGGTCCGGTCCCTGGAGCCATTATGTACCTCTGTAATCCTTTGACTACCGCCCACACCACGGATATGGGTTGACTACCGCCCACACCATGGATATGGGTTGACTACCTCCCACACCATGGGTACGTGTTGACTACCGCCCACACCACGGATATGGGTTGACTACCGCACACACCACGGATATGGGTTGACTACCGCCCACACCACGGATATGGGTTGACTACCGCACACACCATGAGTATGGATTACTACCGCCCACACCATAGGTATGGGTTGACTACCGCCCACACCACGGATATGGGTTGACTACCGCCCACACCACGGATATGGGTTGACTACCGCCCACACCACGGATATGGGTTGACTACCGCACACACCATGAGTATGGATTACTACCGCCCACACCATAGGTATGGGTTGACTACCGCACACACCATGAGTATGGATTACTACCGCCCACACCATAGGTATGGGTTGACTACCGCCCACACCATGGGTATGGGTTGACTACTTCCCACACCATAGGTATGGGTTGACTACCGCCCACACCATGGATATGGGTTGACTACCGCCCACACCATGGGTACTTGTTGACTACCGCCCACACCACGGATATGGGTTGACTACCGCACACACCATGAGTATGGATTACTACCGCCCACACCATAGGTATGGGTTGACTACCGCCCACACCATAGGTATGGGTTGACTACCGCACACACCATGAGTATGGATTACTACCGCCCACACCATAGGTATGGGTTGACTACCGCCCACACCATGGGTATGGGTTGACTACCTCCCACACCATAGGTATGGGTTGACTACCGCCAACACCATGGATATGGGTTGACTAGCGCCCACACCATGGGTACTTGTTGACTACTGCCCACACCACGGATATGGGTTGACTACCGCACACACCATGAGTATGGATTACTACCGCCCACACCATAGGTATGTTTTGACTACCGCCCACACCATAGGTATGGGTTGACTACCGCCCACACAATGGGTATGGATTACTACCGCCCACACCATGGATATGGGTTGACTACCGCCCACACCATGGGTAAGGGTTGACTACCGTCCACACCAATTGCATGGGTTGACTACCGCCCACACCATGTTTATGGGTTGACTACCGCCCACACCATGGGTATGGGTTGACTACCGCCCACACCATGTGTATGGGTTGACTACCGCCCACACCATGGGTATGGGTTGACTACCGCTCACACCATGGGTATGGGGTGACTACCGCCCTCACCATGGGTATGGGGTGACTACCGCCCACACCATGGGTATGGGTTGACTACCGCCCACACCATGGGTCTGGGGTGACTACCGCCCACACCATGGGTATGGGTTGACTACCGCCAACACCATGGGTATGGGTTGACTACCGCCCACACCATGGGTATGGGTGACTACCGCCCACACCATGGGTATGGGTTACTACCGCCCACACCATGGGTATGGGGTGACTACCGCCCACACCATGGGTATGGGTTGACTACCGCCCACACCATGGATATGGGTTGACTACCGCCCACACCATGGGTATGGATTACTACCGCCCAAACCATGGGTATGGGTTGACTACCGCCCACACCATGGGTATGGGTTGACTACCGCCCACACCATGTGTATGGGTTGACTACCGCCCACACCATGGGTAGGGGGTGACTACTGCCCACACCATGGGTATGGGTTGACTACCGCCCACACCATCGGTATGGGTTACTACCGCCCACACCATGGGTACGGGTTGACTACCGCCTACACCATGGGTATTGGGTGATTACCGCCCACACCATGGGTAGGGGGTGACTACCGCCCACACCATGGGTATGGGTTGACCACCGCCCACACCATGGGTATGGGTTGACCACCGCCCACACCATGGGTATGGATTGACCACCGCCCACACCATGGGTATGGGTTGACCACCGCCCACACCATGGGTATGGGGTGACCACCGCCCACACCATGGGTATGGGTTGACTACCGCCCACACCATGGGTATGGGTTGACTACCGCCCACACCATGTGTATGGGTTGACTACCGCCCACACCATGGGTATGGGTTGACTACCGCTCACACCATGGGTATGGGGTGACTACCGCCCTCACCATGAGTATGGGGTGACTACCGCCCACACCATGGGTATGGGTTGACTACCGCCCACACCATGGGTCTGGGGTGACTACCGCCCACACCATGGGTATGGGTTGACTACCGCCAACACCATGGGTATGGGTTGACTACCGCCCACACCATGGGTATGGGTGACTACCGCCCACACCATGGGTATGGGTTACTACCGCCCACACCATGGGTATGGGGTGACTACCGCCCACACCATGGGTATGGGTTGACTACCGCCCACACCATGGGTATGGGTTGACTACCGCCCACACCATGGGTATGGATTACTACCGCCCAAACCATGGGTATGGGTTGACTACCGCCCACACCATGGGTATGGGTTGACTACCGCCCACACCATGTGTATGGGTTGACTACCGCCCACACCATGGGTAGGGGGTGACTACTGCCCACACCATGGGTACGGGTTGACTACCGCCCACACCATGGGTATTGGGTCACTACCGCCCACACCATGGGTAGGGGGTGACTACCGCCCACACCATGGGTATGGGTTGACCACCGCCCACACCATGGGTATGGGTTGACTACCGCCCACACCATCGGTATGGGTTACTACCGCCCACACCATGGGTACGGGTTGACTACCGCCCACACCATGGGTATTGGGTCACTACCGCCCACACCATGGGTAGGGGGTGACTACCGCCCACACCATGGGTATGGGTTGACCACCGCCCACACCATGGGTATGGGTTGACAACCGCCCACACCATGGGTATGGATTGACCACCGCCCACACCATGGGTATGGGTTGACCACCGCCCACACCATGGGTATGGGGTGACTACCGCCCACACCATGGGTATGGGGTGACTACCGCCCACACCATGGGTATGGGGTGACTACCGCCCACACCATGGGTATGGGGTGACTACCGCCCACACCATGGGTATGAGGTGACTACCGCCCACACCATGGGTATTGGGTGACTACCGCCCACACCATGAGTATGGGGTGACTACCGCCCACACCATGGGTATGGGTTGACCACCGCCCACACCATGGGTATGGGGTGACTACCGCCCACACCATGGGTATGGGGTGACTACCGCCCACACCACATGTGTATGGGTTGACCACCGCCCGCACCACATGGGTATGGGTTGACCACCGCCCACACCACATGGGTATGGGTTGACCACCGCCCACACCATGGGTATGGGTTGACCACCGCCCACACCATGGGTATGGGTTGACCACCGCCCACACCATGGGTATGGGGTGACCACCGCCCACACCATGGGTATGGGTTGACTACCGCCCACACCATGGGTATGGGTTGACTACCGCCCACACCATGGGTATGGGGTAACTACCGCCCACACCATGGGTATTGGGTGACCACCGCCCACACCATGGGTATGGGGTGACCACCGCCCACACCACATGGGTATGGGTTGACCACCGCCCACACCATGGGTATGGGGTGACCACCGCCCACACCATGGGTATGGGGTGACTACCGCCCACACCATGGGTATGGGGTGACCACCGCCCACACCATGGGTATGGGGTGACTACCGCCCACACCATGGGTATGGGTTGACTACCGCCCACACCATGGGTATGGGTTGACTACCGCCCACACCATGGGTATGGATTACTACCGCCCAAACCATGGGTATGGGTTGACTACCGCCCACACCATGGGTATGGGTTGACTACCGCCCACACCATGTGTATGGGTTGACTACCGCCCACACCATGGGTAGGGGGTGACTACTGCCCACACCATGGGTATGGGTTGACTACCGCCCACACCATCGGTATGGGT